TATATGAAAATGCTTTTTTGTTGACGAAACGATATTAAACAATATGAGAAATAAAAAGTCATTGTTAGGAGATAGTGAAAGATATTGAGATTAATATATATTCAAATAATTTTATATTTTCATACAACAAACAAGTCATAATTCTTGTTATAAAATGTAAAATTTGAATTAAGTTAAATTGGCACGTTTTTACCATTTTTATGAATTGTTATAAAACATATTAAATGGTACATTATAAAATTTTATAATATTATAATAATATCTAGAAATTCGCAATAATGATAAATATAATAAATATTGCTAATGATTAATAATAATAATAATAATAATAATAATAATAATATAATTAATAATAAATTTAATAATTGTCAGTAAATATTGACAGTTGTTACTATAAATATTGATAATAAGTATATTGTGGATTTTTATATGCATGTACATAAAATATACATATAACATGCGACGCAAAGTATTAATTACTTTTAATGAGTATTAATTAATTTTTAATAAACTAAACTTTCTTTCGTCAGAATCCTCAATCAATGAATAATCAGTATATTAATAATAATATTAATGTAACAAACAAGTATGACAATTTAATAATAATACTATAATACTATAATTTGCATCATGTATTTGCAGTTGACGAATTCCGAAGTATTTCGCTGCAGTTGGTCCAGTCGCATTATCGAACCGCCAGTGAACAGAGAATCGTGAATAGGATAGAAGTCTTACCAATTTCGTGGCACACCACCCTTCATTCCGAGGATACCGGAATCGACAAGAAATTACAAGCAATCACTCTGGACAGTATACCGAAATTACGACATTTCACCAATGACACGTTGCTTGACATACTTTTCTACACAAGCCCTGTCTATTGTCAAACCATTATGGAAACGGTTGGAAACGAATTAAATAGACTGTACGCCCTTTTCAAGAAACGAAATCCAGACTTCAATGGTGGAATTTATCTGGGCGGCCATTCTTTGGGTAGCTTAATTTTGTTTGATCTTCTGTGCCATCAAAAACCGCTGTCGGATGATACAACGTGTGAAAATGACAGCGAGACTAACGAAGAACAAGTAAGTGAATTGTGTTCACCCGATTACGAAAGAGAAACCTAGAAAGAAGAATTCAGACCAACCTTCGTAATAGACTTTGATTAAATGCATGGAAAATTTTGTTATCTACTTTTCCGGAAACGAGGATTTCGAAAATTGATTGTGAAGCAAAATTTTCAATATTAGTTCTTGTAATAATAATTGTAATCAAATTTTGAAATAGATTTGAGATAGATGATTGATATTTTTTTAAATTTTTTATTAAATCTGTTAATGAATCCTTTGACGATCCTGCAAACTTTACAATTTATTTAGAAGTTTATACATAAATTTGCTAATATTAATAATGACTAAGTTTATCAAGTATCATCACGACGAAAAAGCAAAAAAATTTAATATCCTCGAATATTTCAAAATGATGGATAACATACTGTAACTAAGGAGAATTCCATATATTCTCTTACAATTAATTTCTTATTATAACTCAGAGAATTAATTCGTACATAATTTGTAACAAATAGTCGGTTTTCGTTTATTTCGTTCTAGAACGAAGAAGATGTCGATCCTTGTGAATCATCCAATCAAACGCCGAAACGACGTCTCAGTAAAAAGATAAGCTACGTAGTAGGTGCTGCCGGGACGGGTCAGCCTTATATACATTATACGCAGTTACATTTTCACCCACGTGCCTTTTTCGCTTTCGGCAGCCCGGTTGGTATGTTTGTGACAGTCCGAGGTATCGATATGCTTGGTGAAGACTTCGTATTGCCAACGTGTCCTGCCTTTTTCAATATATTTCATCCATTCGACCCTGTTGCCTATAGAGTTGAGGCACTCATTAATCCGGAAGCTCCTAAATATCGACCAATGTTGATTCCTCATCACAAAGGACGTAAAAGAATGCATTTGGGTAAGTATACATTTATTAATATATAAAAGTATACAATGTATACAAGTATACAAAATTTAGAAACAAAATTTCTTAAGTATCAAGTATTCCTAAACATAGGATTTTAGATGAAGAATTTTAGAGAAGACGTTATTTTGAAGCATTTCTTCCCTCTTTTATTACAAAATATATCAGTAAAGTGATCAATGCTTTGTTACAAATATTTTACAATCCCTTCTTTTAAATTAATATTACAATATTAACAATGTTTCCAAAAAGTAATAATAAAATACCAATAGTCGTCTAATGAGAAAATTAAAAAAAAAAATATATTTAAGTTTAAAGAAAAATATCAATCAATTATGTATAATAATTGCCATGTTTCATGTATGTTGTAGAATTAAAGGAAACAATGGCGCGTGTTGGTGCGGATCTGAAACAGAGGCTACTTGATTCCGTAAGGAACACGTGGAATTCTGTCTACCAATTGGCAGTGTTTCATAAATCAGATAACAGTACACTCGAGCGTGAAATTGATAAAGTTATGGAAGAACAATTGCAACAAACTGTTTCGGATCATCAAACTAACGATGATGGCGGCGCCGAGTTTAAAGTGGGCAAACTAAATAGTGGACGGAGAATAGATTATGTCCTTCAAGAAGCTCCGTTCGAGTACATTAACGAATACATTTTTGCATTGACAAGTCATGTCTGTTACTGGTTAGTAAAATTTTTTTTTAAGATTATATTAGAAAAATATAATTTTAAAATTGTTTGTTGAAAAATCGTCTTATCTATTATAGAGAGCATTATACTTTAAATATTTTTGTATATATTTTTTCATATTATACGTATTTCATAACATTTTAAAATATTCTATAAATTTATATTTTTTATCACATAATATTTGTATCACACTTTTATAGAAACAATAAGATCTAAGTAAAGATTAGATCGCACTGCTAAATATTATAATAAGTATTATATGTTACAGTACTGCTCTATACATTGTATACTCTATACATTCTATGCTAAGTATTATATGTTACAGTACTGCTCTATACATCTTTAAAATATACATGTTTGTAATTTGTAGAGCATCCAATATATTTTAGATATTTTTTATATCCGTAATTAACTTTAAACTTCAAATATTTTTTGTCTAGGGAGTCCGAAGATACTATGCTGATGATTCTAAAGGAAATATATGGTTCAACTGGTGTTCAAGCAGATGCTCAACTTCCACAACAAACGTTGTGTGTTGAGCGAATGTCTCCCTCGCCATCATTGTCATCGTCCTCTAAAAACGACGGAGCATCATCTACGATGCGTGTTGTAGGAATGGATCCTACTGCACCTATATCTGAGAAACCCATTGGTCCACCTCCTAAGAGTGGATTTGTTAAAAAGTCATGATCAAAATGGAATCGTTTAAGTTTCCACGAACTGTTTCATGATAACGAAAGACAAGATAATGTTCAGAATCTTACGATTGCTACCAATCAGATTGATGCGGGCATTGTACCTGACGTTAATACCAGCTATAAATTCTACGATTATTGAAAATCAAATCTTTCCTGTTTCCTACGAGAGGTATTGTAAAGTGTTATTAAATCGATAAAACTGCTCCTTAAGAAACTCAACTCCAGTGACCTTGGCTTTCAGGCTTGGTCACCCTGTTGATTTTAATTGTTGTTTATTGTTTGTTACTAAGTTATTAACAAAATAACTTTTATAAGTAGAATATGCCATTTCAGCCATGGGTGCATATTTAGTCCTTATGCAATGAAAAAAATTGTATATTCTTTGTAATTTTTTTTGTAAAATTTTCATTTGTACATTTAAAATCACAACTTGGCAAATTGAGTGAGTATTGCAATAACGCATGTAAAGGTCAAGGCCATTCTAGGGGATGGATTCCTCCCTCAATTTTACTTATCAAATCTACTGTAACATTCGAAAATATTTCTCAAGTGGATTGTTCCTTTGGTGTGTTCTTGAAATTGCCGTTTAGATTTGTCGGCCTACGTGACACAACGTTTGAATCACTAAAACGACTAGCTAACGTTCATTAAAATATAATTAAAATGAGCTATGACATTCTGATTAGATGGAACGTGGGGATTATACGTGCATATAGATTAAACTGTTTGTCTTCAGTTGATATACACTATACATTGTTTCAACAAATTAGGAACATACACATTCGTGAAAAATTTAAAGGACATTAACATAGGACAAGCGAACGAAGATGAGAGTTTGTAATACAAAAGAAAGTTATATATAAAGATTAATCATATTGTTTATTGTAAATATGATTTATAAGTGGATATAAAGTAAATAGTATATGAAGTTTTTCAAAGTATGCTTGCATTATGAGAATTTCACTCTACGTTCTCATCGATGCAAGAATTTTAATAAAATATCATATTCTTCTACTTGTTAAATTTATTTCTCGTCTTGTCCCTCTGTACTTGTTCGTTGCACTTGTGTGTGTGTGTTACGGACACTTTTGTGTAATTTTATCAATTTTCATACTTTAATTTATTTAACGTATGTTTTATTATAATTTCAAGTTGGATTTGAAAAAAAAATTTCTTCAAAAATAAGTAGTTCTGATTATATATTGTTACTGTTGCAAATTCCAACATGTCGCAAAATTTCATTTTCAGCGTAGAATGATCTTTCTCATCTAACTAATTAAAATTCGATCTTCTTGCTCATTTTTTTCTTTTTTTTAAATTTAATATAATGTTTCTATAACAGATACAGTCGCATATGAAAATATTCGGGCACTTTTAACATTCTAATTTCCGAAAATATAATATGTAAATCAGGTATCTAAACAGACTGTATAGTATAAATGAATCTTAATATTTAATAGAACTATTTTTAATTATTCTACTGTTTGAGATAGCTTTTTTCACTTCATTGAAATATATGTTTGCAACTCCTGTATGTATTTTCACATTAGTTTTACATTTATATCATATAATCATACGCGGTCGTCTCTTGTCACACTGTTAACGAAATTTCGAAATATCTTTTACTCTTCTACGATGAGTCATCGAATACTTTCACGTGCCACTGTATTCACATTATTCGCACAGCGAATGATGAAAGCCACTTGCTACCGTGTTACAACAATCGCGATCGTTGCAGGATCAGTTCGCGAGACGAGTAAAAACCAACTAGCCCACGTCTCTTATCGTCTCTGGTGGAAAACTCCGCCACAGACGGATTGTTAATCTCTCCGGCTGGATCTCCCGCGTCTTTTGGCACGGTGTTACGTAGTTGCCGCGAGATCGTCGAATGGCTCGAGCTTATCGTGCGAGTAGTTTTTAGTTGGTTGACATAAAAAAAAAAAAAAAAAAAAAAAAAAAAGAGTGGTTCGGCACATGCACGGGTATCACGAAACGCTAATTAATTGCGGTGCATGGCTGTCGTGGGGCACTGCTTTGCATTTTGCGTGCAGGCCCTCGTAAAACTACATGGCTGTCAGCCCGGGCGAATTTCAAGATGATTTATCGTCTTGGCGAAACTAAGTTTTTCGCGATACTTCGTGGCTTCGCGGTCCCGTGGCTCTGAAAGGCGCGGGCAATGCCTTTGCCACATGCAACTATACACCACAGCCGGTGTATCGCGAGTCGACGGTAGCTGATCGACTCGTGTTTTATGTTCGTACCGTCCAACTCGGCCGGTTGCTGAAATACGACGTCCTTTCCTCTATTCTCACCTCCATTGACGATCTCATCCCCCTCACGCGAAACGCCTTTGCCTCGCTTAACTTATTATACTTGTGCCTTGGGATAATGGGGCCAGCTTCGATTAGAACTTTGGCCGCACGGAAATGTTATTATCACGTCGTGAATATTATATTTTAAATTTTATTTCGTTCTTACTTCCATCGCGATACGCGCTACATTTTTCTATCATGCACTATCTGTATTAAGATTCATCGATAGATCGTCATGATATCGCATTTCGCGTGATTTTAACTGAGAATCTTGCTAACAAGGCGCGAGCTTCACTCGGCTTCACAAGCTGCTCGTCACGAATAATTCGCGACTAGTATAAATCATTCTCGTTACAAAAATTTTACTTCTACTTCACTTTCTGCTACAACAGCAGCGAACATGAACGCCTGTCTTCTGACGCTGTTGCTTCTGCATGGTCTGGCGAAAAGTTATATACTCGACAATTCACATTACAATTTTGTGTAATGACATAGTATGAGAACGAGCAGGACGTAAATTTAAATTTATAAAATTCAATGAATAAACGTGTAACTTTTTATGCACTTGTGAGGGATTTAAAGTCGTAAAAATGCAAGAAATGTGTGTCTTAAACAACATTTATTGAGTGAAACAAAATCTTTGCTTAGATCTTATCTCTTCGGTCATGTTTTCAATTTGAATTTATGAAGATTTGAAATAAACGATAGATTCTTTAATTTCTATGTAAACTTGCCAAACTGATCAGCTTCACTTTCTGTTAATTTCTCAATTTCATTTCAGGAGTGCACGATTTAACTTCATTCAATTGTCGAATTGAAATCATCTAAGAGTCTCGTAGACTTTATCTTGGGCTTTATGGTTGCTTATTAATAACTACATGTATTATCATTACAGTGCAATGAATGCTTTACACATATATAATAAATGAATTAATATTACAATATAACAAATATTTTATATATATAGTGAAATATAAATTCATATATTATACGAATAATAAATAACTAGCTAGTTTTAGTTATTGGTTCAAATAGAGAGAAATATGCATAAAATGATCTTATATAATAATAAGATATAATAGTGAAATATTTAATGGGGATAGACTTAAGTAATAGTGATATATATTTGAGATAAAGTGAAAAATTCTCACACTATGCTTGGTTATATAAAACTTATATAATGCACTTGTAACTTAAATTTGGTTTACACCAAATCAATTAATTTCAATGTGCATTTTGTATGAGGTATAAAAAAATTAACTGATTGAGCGATCGACTCAAAATATATATCAAATTAGTTTATACAATGCACATCAACTTATACAATGCACTTGTAACTTAAATTTCGTTCACACCAAATCAATTAATTTTAATGTGCATTTTGTATGAGGTATAAAAAAAAAATTAACTGATTGAGCGATCGACTCAAAATATATATCAAATTAATGATTATGTGAACCGGTTGTGAATTAATTTGTGACCTATCAGCGTAGTTTTCGATCTTTCACAATAATAGAACGACTTTCTAAATACTTTGACGTTCAAAGTAAATGTCGAGAAGAACTTCGTCTCGTCATCCAACGTCTAATGACAGTCATTGCCGCTTTATTCTAACTGCTACGCCCGTTCTAGCAGTGCAACAGAGTAATTAACAGAGCAAGTAGTTAGTTTCAGCTCAGTCGTTATTCGTTCGGCTTTTTGTGAACGATGCACATCCAATTCTTGGAGATTCGTCGACCGTGCACCGACGTTAACGATTCTTGATGGCATTTTGAAATTTTGGATTTCTGCCTGTGTCCATTTTCACTATGCACGGCTTTCTGGCACGGGTCCACGCGTCGCTATTTTCCGAAATTACACACCGGTCCACACCACTTTTCTTTATCAACGTTTGGCAATCGGATTCGAGTTTCGAATTAATCTTCGACCTTTGGCGCATTCACGACCGCCTTATCGTTGAACAGCATTTGATAAGATAACGCGTTGACACTGATAATAGCCACTCTCGAGATTCTCTTCTTCTGTATATTCTCATGCATTTTTGCGTGTCTCTCAATATTCTCTGTGCTTGGTTGTTATGAATATTTTATCAATGAACGGGATGATTGTCCTCTGTAAACGTTATTAATAGTTAATCAATAAATAACTTTGATAATAATATAACAAAATGCATATTAACGTGAATTATAGAAATGTAAAAAATGAAAGAAGCTCGAGGTGCGGAAAGTTTAACTATCAGAATTATCAAGATAACCAAATCGTGATTTTTCATAGAAATTTTATCCGATCCTTCGTAAAATATATGAATGAAAATATTAATTAGTGTTGTACACTTGTACGCTTTTTTTTTACACATTGTTATTATATCGTGTTACCATAATCTCATCTTAAAGTTCCATTACAAAACAAATGATAAATAATATACTACTAGTAGAAAGTTTAAGTGGCATGCTAGGAAGATAGTGCAGAGTATATAAAAAAAAAATAAGCCATAAGTATCATCGGTGCTAACTCTAAATAACGTGAGGTGAAAGTATCAAAGTACGTTATCACGAATCAAATTTTATTTCTTGCATTTAATAGTAATTTTGTAGAAGGAAGTAAATGTAAGTGTAAGATTCACCAAATTCAATTATCAATGGAATATTCATAGAATAATCTAAATAGTAAAGGAACAATATCTGGACAATGAAATTCGAAATTCATTCGCTACGCATTCCCGATTAAAAATTGGGAATCTAAATAAATATTTCATTTGTAATATTTTAAGTACACTTCAACAATGAATTATATTTAAACATTCTAATTATAATATTTCAATTTAAACATTCTAATTATAATAATTCTATATATATATATATATATATATATATATATATATATA